GAGGCAGTCTTCACTCATGGTGGCGTTCGGTGTGGAGCTTAGTTGTGGGCACATCGGGTGCTGATAGGTAGCGTCGTAGGGGCGACCGTCTGCGGTGAATCTGTCGAGGGCGACTGGTCTCTGAAATTATTTTTTTGAGATCTCTGAAATTTTTTTGAGGTCGCTGAAATTTTTTTTGGATCCGGATTATCCGGAAGATGCAGATTCACTGGAATGGCTCGGTAAGTTTTTAGATTCATGAGTCTTATTCCGTTAATTATTTAGATTCGTTAATTTCGCATCGTTAATTTTAGTGATCCGCTAATTTTATTCTGTTAATCTAAATCTGGACTATGTTGTTATCTAATTATCTAATTAATTATCTAATTCTATGGCTGCGTTAATTTTATTTGAATTCAGTGAATTCCGTACTTCAAAACAACACAAGTGAAGTCTCACCTTGAATCTGAGGTCTCCTACGGGAGGTTTTGCATAGGGCACACCGAGGAACACATCAGCCTCACCATAGTAAAGTTTCCATCGATCCCAGCCTAAATTAAGCGACGATACGTCAATTTCTAAGCAAAAATAAGTGAATTCAGGAGCTGTAGACGGAGCTAGCTGGCTGGCATCAGCTCTGCAGCCAATTGATTTGATCATATTTTGATCAGTTTTATTTGATTTGATCAAGTCAATTGATCAGTTGACTAGTTCGGGATCTGTAGAGGAAAATTAGAGCAGCAGATCATAAACACCTACCAAAATTAGCCCTATAACCAATGAGAGTACCAAGCGGAGTGTCCAATTTGCGCAGTTCAGCCGTACAACAAGCCACAATAAAGCCATTCAGCATCAGAACATAGAGTAGAGTCAATCCATCAATTGCACGTCTCATTTTATCAAATTATAACGATTTGACCTGAATTTAAAAAAATGAATTTTAAAATATCTGTTAACTCCTTAAAAATCGCTCTACAAACCATACGAGATATACGGCAATAGTGCAATAGTCATCGTTAATTAGCGTTAATTAGCGTAATAAAGGAATATTCAATTGGTTAATTAACGAGTGGAAGTTAGCCAATTAACGAGTAATCAATCAATCAATACGATCAGATCACAGATCTAACAAATTCAACGCAACGAACGCAATCGAGAATGCGAATCACTACCAAACCTTCAATCAGATAATATTTATATGCGCCTTATTCACATTTACAAATAAAAATTTGCGAACGAACTGAAAAAATTTCATTTCTGAAGAAAACTATTGAATAGTGAAAAGTTTTTCAATAATAGGGAAAAAGGAAGAATAACGATAATAATAATAATAATATTAATAATAATAATATTAATAATAATAATAACAACAATAATAATAATAATAATAATAATAATAA